CGGCAGCGTGCAGGCCGCTATATACCCCAGAAGTACAACCCCTAAGCTGCGATAGGCCGTTCAGCTGTCGAGCCACCCAAGCATTAGTCCATAGCAGGACCCTTTGTTTGGATTCTCGCGCCACAGGGCAACCGACAATTGCGCATGCGCTGAACTTGTTAGCTGCTCTAGGCAAAGCCGGAAACAGGCGCCATCTTGCAATGGCGTTAACACCGCGCCCCACAAGTAAACGTGGGAAATTATAGAGTTCACTTGGTTTATTTCCTCTCTTTCAAAGATTACTGTCCTTCATTGCCTGATGTCCAGGGTCTTATAAACTGTTTAGTGCATGTACGTTGTGCATTTTTGGTTGTTTCAGTCAGGAGGGTATCTGCTGCCTGTTCCCTGGCATCTTGGTCAGAAGTCCCCGAATGTTCATTTGGCTGAAATCTCAGGGCATCCCAATTCCGTGCAGTGCCCAGTGCCCCCTCATGTTACCCAGCCTTTGGGGTACCTAGTATATGTTCCACACATGAGAACCTAGCAATACTTAACAATGATTCATAAGCAGCAGTCATCAAGGCTATGAAGTGCTTATATGAACATGCATTATGAAAATTCCAACCTGCATTCATTTTATAATCACATTTTGGAAAAATTTTTCTTCTTTGTGTAAAATCTTTTTTATCCCAGGTTTTATGCCCAAAAAGTGATAGACTATGCTGCAAAGGTAGAGATCATTAGAAACATTAGAGCTCAGAAACAAAGGAGTTAAATAACTAAAATATGATTTAATTCCAAAGTTTCTTTTCTATTTGTATTCCACATTTGCCTACTTCACTGCTAAGAATATTCTTTTTTTTAATTTCAGCATATTACAAGAGTACAAATGTTTAGCTTACATATATTGCCCTTGCCCCACTGGAGTCAGAGCTTCAAGCGTGTCCATCCCCCAGCTAAGAATGTTCTTCAAGGAGTAAATTATTACTCTTGCAGCATTAGGACCATCACCCAAAGAAAGCGAAAATTGCCAAGGCTTCCGTAGAAATAGCCAAGCTAACGCTTTCTCGTGATTTTCTATACAGGGCGATAATGTTACTAAAGTCAACCAAGTGTTATGGAAACATCGATTTGTGACGCTAAAGAATCTCAGAATGCAAAGGTTTCCACTGAGCAGTTCAACAGCAACACTGTTGGAATCACAAACTGCCCTCGCCCCAGGCCAAACTGAGAAGCTGCTGTGCACATTCATTCCTCCTCCCCATGTCCAAGGTGAGCCAAGCAGGGAGAAAGAACTGATCACTTTTTGTAAGTGCTGTTGCTTAGGAGACATTTAAAGGCCTTTATTTCTGTCCCATTTTCAAATACAAAAGCTTAAGTCCCAAAAAGCCAAATTAGAAGCATTCCAGAGAAAAACTAAATTATCAGAGATTTTGGTCTCAGCAGAGGCCACCCCACAGCCTGGGCTAGAAAACATATTCCCCTGAAACTCCAGCTTCTATAATCACAACAGACACAGTCCGCTGACCTGCAGCTCTCAACTATGTATAGCAAGATGCTTTCTGTTTGATCAGTGAGTCTGTTCTGTGTTTTGCAAACAGTAGAATATGCTACCCTAGGGGGTCATGAAATCAATTTAATGCACCACAGCTACCTTCTCTTAAAATTACATAAATTAAAATGAAAATGTGAGAATACATCACAATCGTGAGGCCAGTATTGTTTCATGAAATTTCTTTTTTCAATTTTATATGTGTATGTTCGTAAATACTGGGTTGTAATGAAAAGTGTGCCTTTTAGTTTGGGTCATGATCAAAAGGATTTGAAAGCCACTGGTCTAGAAACTATTAAGCATTCTGTGTTCAACTGCTGGTGGGAGTAGACATTGGTATAACCTCTGTTAACAATACCAATATTATTTAAATTCTTGATCCCCAAAACACAATCACAGGTATACAAAAAAAATTAGGTACTAAAGTGCTAAAATGTTTTCTGTAGTGGAATTTATAGTAATGGAAAAATTGGCATAACTTGAAGGACTGGTTGAATAAATTATGAGACACCTACATGATAAATGGTACCAAGCCATTAAAGCTACTTCAGAGTAAAGTTGTAGGAGAGAGTTGAAGGCATATCCATGTCGCCTCTTAGGTGAAAAAGGGAGGTGATAAAATTTTAAATACACCCACACACAATGCATAGAAAGAATATAGTGCAAATACTAACAATCATCTTGAAAAGTATAATTGTATATATTTACTTTCTTTGTGCTTTTCTGTATTTTCAAAAATTCCTACAGTAGATATGCACTACTTCTGTAATTGATAAAAATAATTCAATGAATGCTTTATTCAGCAAAGAGGCAGCTCTCCACATATAATGCTCACTTTAGGCAACAGCAACAGACATTAAAGCTAGCAGTTTAGAAAAAGGATTTCACACGGCTGTATGTTTAGAGTAGAGGCAAAAACATTTAGAGACTAGGTGCACACATATCTGGGTAAACTGTGCAATGATTTCCCATCTTCCCCTCTTCTCAAGTCCCCATGTTCTAAACCAAACACATTGACATCAAAATTTGTCCCCAACAAATGGGCTGTCAAGATGGGCCTGTACAGGTTTTAGTGCTAACAAATATGAACAGCCTGTAGGCAACACCAGTGTTTTTCTCCCCCCAAAAGTAACAAAGTCTGTGTTTAAAAAAAAGTGTTCAGGGTAAAAATATACTAATAATAAAACAAAAAAAAAACAAAGGGGTCAAGTTTTGTGGATTAACTTCAAGTTCTAAGGGTAAGAAAGAAAAACAGATATATATTTTTTTTCATTAATTCATTCATTCAATGCCTCTGTCCATCAGTCCACCTGTCCATCAGTTTGTTCCTCAATCTGTCAGTCTGTCTGTCCATCAGTCTATCCATCAGTCCGTCAGTTGGTCATCGCTCAGTCCACAGCCACCTGCCAACTACCCCACACGACAGTCAGACTTAGGCTGTCATGATCGAGGACTCGGTCCCTGCCCTCATTGCCTTCATGGTCCAGTCTCAGTTTACTCACCTGTAAAATGGCAATAAATGAGCATAGCTGGCACTGCCTAGTGCTCGATAGGTGCCAGGCACAGTGCCGAGGGCTTAGTCTGTGCACTCAACCAGCTGTACCAATGGGTCAGGCCTGAAGGCACCTTCAGTGCCTGCCATAGGCAGCTGCGCAGGACAAGGCTGTCCCTTCTCCCAGGGCTGATTCCAGCTTTCTGTCTTCACTCCTCCCCTGTGCCTCCACTGGGACCCATCCCTTGCTCATCGTGGTGTCCCTCGATGTGCCACACACTCCCACACCCTCATCCTGTGTTCAGGTGTCCCTGCCTGCAGGCCCTCCAACCCCCATCCGGAAGGCCCTTGCACATCCTCTGAGTCGCTAAAATGGCCCTGCTTGGGGACCCCCATATTCTCACCAAGGCCTCCAAGCCCCTGTGTCTGTGCAGGGCCTGCCACGTCCTGCCGGGCTCTGTGGCCACCTGTCCACTTTGTACAATGGCAAGCAAAAGAGACCACATGGCATTTCCTTCTCCAAATCCCCAGGCTAGGCACATGATAGAGACATCAACACCTGCTTCCTGAGTCCAGGTGTAAGGCATTTTACACTCATCGCCTCACATAATTTAACCCTCACAACCTCTGCAAAGGAAGGCTTGTTATCCCACTTCATGTTTGGGAAAGCTGAGGCTAGAGAGGGGAATAACTTGCCCAAGGTCACACCTAGGGTTACCGGCTTCAACGACAGTAAACGTGCATGGAAATACATTTTTCAGAAGCAAGATCTACTTAGCCCTACAGACCACAAAGGAGGTGGTCTTTGGTACCCCCCAGCCACCCCCAGATTCAAGTCCACACTTTACTCTAGAGAGCTCCTGCTTGAAGAAGATGCAGTGAGTGGATTCTGAACTTCAAACAAGCCAAAAATGTTCATGCTTTTCTTTCAACAAATATCCATGTCTCTACCAATAGCCCTGTGCTAGGTGCTGGGTGGACGTGGGGGTGGAAGGAGAAAGGAAGGAACAGAAATGGAAATCAGGGCTGTGGTCCTGTGCGCTCCTAAGAGACATACATTTGGTCTTTGTCCCTGGCTCCTGTCCCAGAGCTCCTGACACAATACAACAGTTACACAGCTGGTCTCTGCCCCAGTTCCTAACACAGCTCCTGAACCCCTTGGCATTTCCTGGGTGATGGGAGTATCCTTTGTCCTGCTGAGACTACTCCTTGTGGCCTCCTGGGCAGCTTCAGGGCAGGGACTGGTCACCAGAAAGACCAAGCCATGACGAGAAGCTTGGAACTTTTATCCCCACCCATCCTCCGAGAAGGGAGAGGGGCTAGAGGTGGAGCTACTAACCCATCGCACCTGTGTGATGACGCCTCCATGAAAATCCCTGTTCCGTGTGGACCCCACACAACATCCCCATAGGAACGAAGCCCACACATCACCCCGCCCACCATCAGGGACACATCTCTACGCAGCCCCTTGACAGGACGATCACACTGACTGTCACACAGGCAGACACACTGTTCCTGTGGGAGAGACCCGCAGGACCTGACCACAGTTCACCTCCCTTGAAGGCCCGGCTGCTCCTCGCCCCTCCATGGGGTCCCCCGGCTGTGGCGCAGACAGCAGGGTGTTGGCTCTCCGGAAGCCCATCCTTGCCCTTTCACTTTCCACAGCTGCCCTCGACGTGCTCGGGCCCCCTTCCCCCCTGAGCCGAAACTCCCCATCCTCCCCTTCAGTTTAGCGCTGCTGTTTCGGGGCAAATACTCAACCACGTTCAGCACTAAATTCAGACCAAAGGCCCACCAGGGGCGCCCTTCTTCCCTTCTCCTCCTTGAGGTGTGGCCTGGACGAAACGGCGCAGACAACACCTGCAGTCCTGCCACACCAGCGTGTCACGAGTCCACCACCCATTGCCCCGGGTGTCCTGCCCTCAGACACCCCACTTGGGTCCCCCTTCTCATGGCCCCCACAAAGGTGCAGAGACCCGCTTAATACTGCAGGCACCTCTGCTCTCAGAGCTGTGTGGACTCCGAGCACAGATCCCAGCTGTTCTCAGAGTCCCCCTTAATTCCCCTCAAGTCATACTGGGATCTCTCACACCTTGTGCTCCTCACTGCACTACCCAGTCTGCGGCCCGGGGCTGGGGACGCGGTGGGCAGCCTCTAAATGCTCTGCCTTCTGCCCCACCCCCACCCCTGGGGGTCATTCCCTGTGTTCTCCCCAGGGGATGAAAACAATGGAGCAGAGCTGCGATCATTAGAACCCACAGTGGCCCTTTCCCACGCAGTCAGCCACCACACCACCAAGCTTAGTGACATTTACTGCGAGCCAAACATTTATAAACATAGTCTATACCAGTCCTTGCAGCACCATATGAGGAGGACAAGCAATGACTACAAGGCAAACAAGTAAGGGACCCAGAGCTACAGGGCGGTCCGAGTTCCATCGGACCCCAAAGCCTGTGCTCCGCCCGCCGCAGGCTGCTCCCCCAGGGCCTGCTGCATCTTGGGGACCCACTGGACCTGCCGGCCTCGGGGCTCACCATGCCTCCGGTGCACTCGCGGCAGTCCTGCAGGCAGCTGATGTTCTCCCAGGTGCTGTAGGCCTTCAACCCAGCCACCAGGGCCTGCAGCGAGCGGCTGTTGACCAGCTCCTTCCCCTGGAAGACATCCTCGTCCAGCAGGGCCCCAGCGTACCTGCGAGACGAAGCAGAGACGTGTGAGGGACGCAACAGTCAGTGCACACGTGTGGAGAAGCACGCTGAGGCACGTGGGGGTCGGAGGTGGACTGCAAGGCCGGAACCTGCTCCTCCAAGGGCACTGCCAAAGGCTTCATGGGCCCTTCAAAACCATCACCCAGCACCAAGACCATATCCACAACCACGAGTCTCCACTGCACCGTCCTCCCCTTGGAAAACCTGTCCTTTGCTTTCTGTCCCTGTTTACTTTTCTGCCAGTCCATCTATAGGCCCCATCACTCCATCTGTCCAGGCACTCCTTGACCCAGCACAAGGGACACTATGTTTAAGTCTCTCCCTCTTTTGGTCTACACAGATAGGATCATATTCTGAATTATTTTATTTTATCCACACAAAAAAATTTCATGTCTTTTATATTTGTAATTGTTTAATCCCACTTCCATTGGAAATTCTGCAATGGATTATGTGGTAGGCAGAATAACGACCCCTAAAGATGTCCTAATCCCTAGAACCTGTGAATAGGTTCCCTCACCTGGCAAAAGGGACTTTGCAGATGTGATTAAATTAGAGACCTTGAGATGGGGAAATGATCCTGGATTAAACAGGCGATCCAGTGTAATCATAAGGGTTCTTAGAGCAAGCAGTGGCAAGAAGAGGACATGTGACAATGGGAGCAGTCAGAGGGTACAGCAGGAGAAAGGGTCAGCTGGCCATTTGCAGACAGAAGGAGCCACAAGACAAATGGGGAGGCCACCTACAGCAGCTAGAAAAGGTGGGGAAGTGGGTCCTCCCTAGAGTCTCCAGGAGGAAGACAGCCTTGCTGACACCTTGATTTTAAACCAGTGAAGCCTGTTTTGGATTCCTGACTTCCAGAATGGTAAGGAAATAAATCTGTGCTATTTTAAGCCACCAAGTTGGTGGCAATTTGTTACAGCAGCAATACGAAACTAATACAGATTGTGGCCAACTTCTTCCTTCAAGATGATGTCACCGTTCTCCTTCATTTTTCAGCCACTTGTGGGTATGATCCCTGTGCAGTGTGTAGTGGTATTGTTTGGTCTCCCTCCAGATGTACTCCTCCCCCTCGATAATGAGTTTCATTTTCACCATATTTCAAAACACCATAGTTAAAGGGTCAGCTCACCCTCTGTCTCCCTTCTTTTGAACACCTTCCTATTCATCTTATTTTTAAAGTATTTTTTACAATAAGTTATTGTCTGGATCAACTACTGGGAATAAAAAAGCTTTACTGAACTCTTTTTTTCTCTATGTTCAAACTCCAGAACACAAAAGAAGCCCTAGAACCAAGCATCAAAGTCAAGGGTGGTCAACACACTGAACTCCTTGGAAGTGCCTCAAACTCCCTGGAGGAATTCGGAGAAGTACCGTGAAGTTTGATATCATGGGAGGCTGGAGATAACAGTGGTGGTGGTTAGAGGTGGTGACTCATGGGTTGTTCTCCACTGCCTGAGTGCCACCTACTGATACGATGTGATTTGCTAACCGTTTGTTCATAAGGAACGTTGGTCTCATAATGTTTTTGTCTGCTTGTTGGTGTCAGGATAATACTCATAAAATGGTTTGAAAAGTTTTCTCTTCTCCTTTATTTTCCAAAAGGGTTTGTGTAAAATTGGTATGTTTTCTTTTCTTAAATATTTAATGGATTTCACTAGTAATGCAAGATAGGGATATTCATATTGCTATTTCTTTTTGAGTCATTTTTGGTAATATGTATCTTTCAAGAAATTTGTCTGTTTCATATATGTTGTATAATGTATTGGCATTACATTTTTATTTATTTTTTTATTTTTAGTGTTTTTCTTCTCAATTTAATAGTTCTCTATTATCATATTTAGTGTAGTTTTTTTTGCATTTCATTATGAAAAATTTCGAACATACAGAAAATTTGAAATATTTGTACAGAGAACCCTCATATACCCATTAACTAGATTCTAAAGTTGACAACATTTTACTAAAGTTGCTTTATCACGTATCTATCCATCTAGCCATCGGATATGGTTTGGATGTTTGGCCCCTCCAAATCTCACGTTGAAATTTGATCCCCAGTGTTGGAGGGGGGCCTGGTATGTGTTTGAGCCAGTGCCACAGATCCTTCATGAATCGCCTGGTGCCCTCCAGATAATAATGAGTAAGTTCTCATTTTATTAGTTCACGTGAGACTGAGACGTGGTTGTTTCTTTTCTTTTCTTTTTTTTTTAATCCCCTCCCCTCCCCCATGCCAAGAGGTGGTTGTTTAAAGGAGCCCGTACCACCTCCGCCCTCTCTTGTTCCTGCTCCCTACATGTGACACACCTGCTGCCCCTTCCCCTTGTGAACTGAAATGCTCACCCCCCCACCGGCTGACTGAATGGACACCCTGGTGGCCAAAGGCATATCCTAAAGCAAAATTGCCTGCCAGGAGGAGAGAGGTCAGACATGCCTTATCTCGTCCCCCTCCTTTCTTTGTAACCCATTAACAGGCCTAAGGGTATGCAAGACAAACCTGCAGGTCCTCAATTTATGCAACAAATGGTGGCTTATCTCTGGTAGACAGTTTATGTTAAAACATTCCAAGCCTTTAGACAAAGCTTCATGTCTTTAGCCAATTACAATCCAAAGAATCTTTAAACCCACCTATAAACTGTAAGCCAACTAAAAATATATAGAAATATAATGTCAATAACAATATTTAATTTTATTCTTTCATTGTCTATAAGATCTGTACAGATGTTCTCTCTTACAAATATTGGTAATTTGTAGCTCTTTTTCTTGATCAGTTTATCTAAAGGTCTATTAAATTTAATTACCTAGTGAAAGAAAAAAAGTGATTCTTGGCTTCTTTTTTCTGTCTTGTTTAGCCATTTCTAATTGATTTCTTTTCTTCTACTTTGGGCTTAATTTCTTCCTCTTTTTCTAGCTTCTTAAAATAGAAATTTACACTATGGGCTTTTGGCCTTTCTTGTTTTCTAATGTATGCATTTAAAGGTATACATTTTCTTCTGAGCATTGCTTTAGCAAATTTTGATATGCTCTGTTTCATTTTAATTTACTTGAAAATATTTTCTAATTTCTCTTGTGATTTCTTTTTGAATCTATGAATTATGTGCACTTTTTAGTTTCCTAATATTGGGGGATTACTCCAGATATTTTTCTGTTAATTTTTAAATTTAATTCCATTCTAATCAGAAAACATACTTTGTATGATTTCGATCCTTTTAACCCTTTGCACTTGCTTGCTTTTTTCTCGATTCCTTTATTCTACTCGGGATTTAATTTTTTAAATACCCCAGATTTTACAAAGCGCGGCAGTAGAATAAAAAACTGGAGTTTCTTTTCATACAAACTTATTTATTTGGATTTTTTTTTATATTTCAAATTACTGATACATTCAAAGAGTAATTTTAATCTCTATAATTTTTGCTAACTGTGTCGAGTCACACTTGACATCCGAGTGCAAAGGGTTAATACATAGTCTGTCTTGATAAATATTCTACGTGCACTTGAAAAGAATGTGTCATCTGCTATTGTTGGGTAGGGTGTTCTATAAATGTCATTTAAGTCAAGTTCATTAGTAGTGTTGTTCATATATTTTATATCATTACCAATTTCCTGTTTATTATCAATTACTCAAACAAAAGAATTGATACCTGTCACTATCCTTCTGGATTTGTTGATTTCTCTTTTCAGTATTGTCCATTTTCTTCATGTATTTTGGAGCTATATTATTAGTCCATACACATTCAGATTGTTATGTCTTCTTAAGGAGTATTCTGCTTTATCATCAGGAAATGTTCTTCTTTATTTCTGGTAATGTGCCTTTTCCTGAAGTCTGTTTTATCTGATGTTAATATGTCCACTCCAGTTTTCTTATGGTTAGTATTTGCAGGTATAAATTTTTTTATTATTTTTCTTTTAACCTATTTGTCTTTATATTTTAAATAGATTTCTTGTAGAAAGTATCTAGTTGAATCTTGATGTCTTGTAATTCTGTCTGACAACCTCCAAATTTAATAGGACTGTTTAAAACATTTATACCTAATGTAATTATCAGCAAACATGATTGAATTTAAAACTATAATATTATTCTGCAATTTTTTTTCCTAATTTATCCCATATGTTCTTTGTACCCCCATCCCCCCATGCTCCTGTCATCCTTTGATTAACTGAATAACTTTTAGTATTCCACTGTTAGCTTAACTATGCCACTATTATTTTTCAAGGATCGTTCTAGGGTTTAAAGTAGGCATCTTTGACTTATCACATTCTTCCCTCAAATAGTGTTATACCACTTCACACATAATATAAGAACCTTACAACAATACAATATAGCTCCATTCCACTATCCCAACCATTGTGATACTGTTGAGATTTTATATATGAAAATATATATAATATGCATAGATATAAATATAAACACATATTTTCTACATATGTTACAAACTTCATTGCTATTTTTACTTTAAACACTCTTTTTTCCTAATCAACATTATTGAGGAATGATTTCTTTACAACAGACTACATTCATTCAAATCGCACCATCTGAAGAGTTCTGACAACCATACACACCCATGAGAATGACACCACAGTCAAGCTATAGAACATCTCCAAGACCCCCCAAAAATGCCTCATGCCTCTTTGCAGTCCAACCCTTTGTCCATCCCCATCTCAAGGCAACCACTGGCCTGCTCTCTGGCACAATGAATTAGTTGTATGTTTATGTAAATAGGATTAAATAGGATTACACAGTATGTGTTGTGTCTTGCTTCTTTCAATCGGCACATTGTTTTGAGATTCATTCATATCACAGCATGTATTAGTGGCTGTTCCTTATTACTGCTGACTACTACTCCATTCTATGCAATGCACACATCACATTCATTTATGCATTTATTTGTTGATGAACATTTTCGTTGTTTCCAGTTTGGGACTTTTACAAATAAAACTGTTATGAAAATTCATGTATTAATGTAAATTTTAGAGGAGACACATGCCTTCATTTGTCTTGAGTAAATACATAGAGGTGAAATGGCTGGTTCAAATGGTAGATATATTTTTAACTTTTTAAGAAACACCAGAAAATTTTTGAAAGTGGTTATTGAACTTTACATTCCCACCAGCAGTGTATGAGAATTCTTGTTGTTCTACGTCCCTGACAACAATCAGCCTTCACAGTCTTTTTAATGTTGGTCATTCCAGTGGGCATGTACTAGTATCTCCTTGTGGTTTGAATCTGCATCTCCCTGATGACCAATGGATTGTGAGCATCTTTCATGTGTCTATTGGCTGACCATTCATATATCTTCTTTTGTTAAATGTCTCTTCAAATCTTTTGCCCATCTTATTTTTAACTGATTGTTTCCTTAATATATTCTGGATATCAACTTTGTCAGATACATGTATTGCAAACACTTCCTCCCATCCCATGACTAAACTTTTCATTTCCTTAATAACAAAAGTCAATTTTGGCTCAAGCTGTTTGCTTTCTTTCATCCATAGTACATTTTCTTATGTCCAAGTATCTTTGTTTCTTCAGTAAAACCTACACATGCAAAACCAACACATGCAAAAGATGTTGCCTTGGACCTTGTCCTACAGCAAAAAGCAAAGGCTGCTATCCAACCTCATAACTAAAATCATTAAGCTAGGGGAAACTGACAAGACATGGAAACCATTATTTGTTTCATTGGCACTTGGATGAGAAGAAACTTGACTGCATTGAGCAACTACTATAAGCAAAGAGCTTATGCATTTATCATCTTGCTTAATCCTTACAACAACCCTATGAAATAGGAAATCATATCTCCATTTTAAAGTTGAGAAAACTGAGGCTCAACTGAGGTGACATACCTAAGTCAAGGTCTCCCATTTGTTAAGGCAGAGCTAGGATTCAAACCCAAGGCTCTCCAGTCCTAAATAAATAATGTGCCTATCAGTGCCCCGAGCAAGTTTATGGCATTTTAATCTATACTATAGTATAGTCAGTCACCCATGCCCTGGGCTATCACTATAATACAATGGTTCTCAGAGAATCCCAGAAATGGTCATTTTAAAAAATGCATATATGATACTCCACTGACCTCTCCAACCACACACACACACACACACACACACACACACCCTCCCCATTCTCCCAGGTGAAAATGATTAGGAAATAAGAAACAAATAGACTTTAAGACAAGAATCCTGACACCACCCAACAGAGATCTGATGAAAGTTCTTGGTAATGCTTGCATGTGATTTTAGTCAACACTGCCAGACAAGGCAGCCTACTGAGCCAACACCTCCGTCTGCCAGATGGAGACATGCACCTGGTGGCTCTGACTCTTTGTCATACCCTTATGTCTGCTTGAAAAGGAAGTCTGAGTAATTCCCCAAGCTTAGTGCATTTCAGAGTATTGGATGAGCATACCTTAAGAAAATCTGATATAAGAAACCCACAGTGGCTGAAAAGACAAATTAAGAAATAACAATTCTTGTAGCAAAATTATCCCTCACTTTTAATACGTTATTTAATACGTTATTTCTTGAGAAATGCAAGGTGTTTGTTTATGGGTTACATTCACACAAAGAATAGATAAAAGAAGAACAAGTATTAGAACTCACCACCCATGCATGGTAAGATTCATGAGAAACTCAGAATATCTCTAAAACCATAATGTCAATGAGAAAGCAGGACTTGATTTACAAAAATTTGTTTTACATAAAAAGACCAAACAAGACTTTTTGGCAATAAGATATTAGAATTATATTTAAAACAGTACAGTGTACCAATAGTAGTGTCCATTTGATGAGGGATGTCTAGGATCCTTAACTATCCTGAACTCCCTTTCTTGACAAAGAAAAGACTAGTTGAGTTTCTGCAAACTGTGAAGTGCTATTCCACCCATTCATTTATTCAACAAATATTAATGAAGTCTTACTTTGTACAAGGCACAGTTCTAGGTGCTATAGAAGCATCAATCAAAAAACAGAGAGAGAAAAATCTCTGTCCTATTGATTTGTCTTGAGACATTAAATGAGTGAGTGTATATAAAATCACAAGACAGTGCCTGGTACATGGCAAGCACTTGACTACATGTTAGCTATTATCTTAATTTTATCATTCTAGGCGTTGTGTAACAAGAGAGTGCCCGAGGGAATGACTGAATCCGGAAGGACAGCAGCACAGACAGTGTTGTGCTCCCTCCTGCCTGGAACCCAGCCTGGACTGCTTGTGCTGCCCATTTGGCCTGGAATAAGCAAGAGGAGAGGCAGACCCAAAACACTCCTTTTGGCTGGTATGCTGCAAATATCATTGGTGTTTCTTTTTTTTTTTCTTTTTTTTTACTTGTTAGTCATTTGCTAAGCTAGGAAATTAATCTTTGTAGCAAATCCTACTAGATGGTTCCAAAGGGAGATATCAGCTGCCAACTTCCCTGGCCAACTACCTCTTGGACTCCTTCACAAAAAGAAACTTTGCTTCAGAGACAACCAAATGATTTAAAAGCAAAGCTCCAACCTAACCCACGGCCAGGTGTGATGTAGTCACACTAGGCAATTTCATCCCATTAGCTGAAGTAACCCATGTGACAGCCAGGCACTACTAGATGTGAAGAGGCCAAATGAGGGATCCACAACTTCTGTGCTCACACAATCTGTAATGGCAAACCAAGATTCATGGTGCAATGACAGGAGGGGCCCAGGACGCTGCTCCAAGAAGCTTATGAGGGGGCTCCTTGTTCCAGGAGAGGCCCCAGGAAGGTGTCTTGAAGATGACAAGCAGAACTTACCAGGGGAAGGAAGGCAAGTGTGTGAGGGGTCACTCACTGGGTGGGGGGTGAAGAGGGCTCGTAAGAAAGGCCACGGCAGAGGGAGTGTGAGCGTAGGATGGGTGTGGAGGCCCATGGGAGAGGGCAGAAGAGCCGACAGGTGAGGGGAGACGGCAGGGCCAGGCAGGGGGAAGGTGCTCCATGGCCATAGGAGGGAGCTTGAGTTTTATCCAGTACAGAAGACACTGGAGGGGCCACAGGAGGGTCCCAGTGGGAAAGTGGGACTTCCGATTTCATTTCAAGTAGAGGGCTGATGACTCCTGGAGAACAGATTTGAAGAGAGCCAGGCTGGCTGGACTGGGTGTGGGGATGGTGAGGGTCCAGGAGAGATGACAGGGAGGAAGCTTTGAGTGATTTCAGTTTAGCAGGTAAAATCAGCAGGATGTGGTAATTGGTGGGATGGGGGGATAAAAGAGCGTGTAGGATGTGCCCCATCTAAGCACATTCCACACGTGAATTCATTTACTCCCACCATGACCCTCTGAAGTAGATACTGACACTTACACTCTGAGGGTATTCACGTCCAGGAAATTTAAGTAATTGCCCATGTGCCTGGTAAGTGGAGGGGCTGGGATTTGAACCCAGGGCAGTTAGGCAACTGTCCACCCTTCAGTGAGTTCACTCCTGCCCCTCCTGTGAGGCACTCAGCATTGGTCCCTGGGTGGATTCAGAGGGCACAGCGATGCACAGGCCTGGGGGGCACAAGCAAGGGCTGGGTGAGGCCCACTGAGTTTGCAGTGCCGTGGGATGCTCGAGCAGGGGTGTGGAGCAGGCAGGGCTGACCTGAGATGAGGAGATACCAGGTCTTGGAGACTGAGAAGAGGCCCAGGGACGGGAACCAAGTTCCACCCATCTTTAAGGGGTGTCCCAGAAAGACAAGCTCAGGAAAATGGTGACCTGCCACAGGGTCACCACACAAAGGGACTCTGTGGTCACAGTCAGTGAGTCAGAACGCAGAGGGCACCAGCATGTACATCCTGTGAGACCCAGGCGCCAGGTGCCCACTGCTGAGACACTGCAGCTGGCACCCAGCCATGGGAAGCATCCTCAGATGCCACAGGCCCCGTGGAATGAGGCTAAGCAGCTCACCCCAAGCATAGGCACCTATGGCCACAGACAGAAAGCAGGAATCCCACCTGGCAGGATGCCACTCAGGCAGGGCTGCGACCGTGTGGCTGCAGGACCCTCAGGGCCTGAAGAGGCATCCGAGGCCCAAGGGGTGTGAGGAAGGCAGGAGGGGAGGGCCACGCCACCTCTGGAGAGGATGGATGGGGAACACCCTGGCTGGCTCCTCGCGGCTGCCCCTAGTGCTGCTCTCCCTGAAGCCCCCAAGAGACAGCCCTCTCCTCACCAAGCTGCACTGCCCAGCACTGAGCAGCCAGTGGCCCCATCGTTTCCGAGGGCAAGCAGGCTCCCAAAGACATCAGGCTCTGTCCTCTTCTTGGCTGAGAGCAAGAGAATATGAGTAGTATGAGGTGGGGCAGGGTGGGCTCCATGAAGCCCAGCAGGTCCCCCTGTTTCTCGCCCATGGAGGCAGCTGGGGAAGGAATGGGGTAAAACCTCCCCTTGAGCCATGCCTGCCGGCCGACTTGTTACTGGCAGACGCCAGACAGGCATAGTAAGAGCCACGTGGCAAGGTCCACGTCTGACTCAAGCCCCATAAACGGCCAGGGCCTAGCCAGTAGGGCTGCCAGGTTTAATATAAACAGAAGACACCCCACTACATTTGAATTGCAGGGAACCAATGCATGATTTTTAGTTTAAGTATGCTATACATAGACTGAAGCATTATGTGTCGATTACCTGCAATTCAAATATAACTGGGTGTCTGCATTTTACCTGGCAACCCTACTGGCAAGGTGTCCCGCAGTTGCTGAATATAAACACATGCACACTGAAAGAGCTATGCTCGCTCATGTCTGTTACCTGCCTTTTCACTGCAAAGTGAAGTCTGGCTACTCATGTTTTTGTCACATGAAATGGGAGGAGAAGCAGGGGCAGCTGACCTTGGCTGGTGGCCTGTTTCTCCTGCTAATCTAACTCCAGACCCTACACCTAAAGCTCTGGACTCCCCTTTTGCTGGGGCAGGACTGAATGCATTGAATAAACACCTACCCAGTCAAACCTCCAGTTACCCAGACCCTGGACTTTGAAGCCAGGTGACTAGCAGCTTATGTCCATGGGAAATTGGGAGATGGGACCTATAACCAAGGCTTGATCACTTTAGTAGACAGAGAAAAAAAAAAAAAAGGCAAATAAAAGGTGTGTAAGGAGAGGTAGTTAGCATAAAATTTTCTGATTATACAACTAACTTTATGAAGCTGTTTTCTCACAAGCTGGAGGAGAAGCAGCAGGGACAAGAAACCAGAAAGAAACAAGAAACCCAGAATATGTCACAGAAAATGCCAATTTCTCCCTGGACTTGTTTTAAAATGGAGATAACTTCTTCCCCCCACTGCCTTCCTGGGGATTCTTATGACCAGATTTTCCACAGGTTAACTCCCGGATGTGAGGGTAGCTGGAACAGAGGGAAAGAAAGAAGTGGAAGGAAGGGTAGAAGCCACAAAGCTATGTGAGCACACTGAGCTAGGCCAGAGACCATAAGGGCATGGAGGAGGGAAATAGCTAAAAAAATGATGGTTGTTTTCTTACGAGAACCAAGGAATCAAAAAGTCAGTAGAATGACATCTTTAAAGTGCTCAAAGAAAAATAAACTATTAACACAGAATTCTATATTTATTGGCAATGTCTTTTAAAGAAAAAAAAGGAGAAATAAAGACTTTCTCAAAAAAAAAACTGGGAGGGATTCATTGCTAGCAGATCTATTCCACAAAAAATGTTAAATATGTACAAATATGATATCAGTTAGAAACCTGGATCTACACGAAGAAATTAACAGTGTTGGAAATGGAATGAACTGAGGTAAAATAAAATTCAGTTTTTCTTATGTTTAATTGCTCTAAAACATAACTATGTAAAAGAAAAAGAATAACAATGTATAGTGTTTTGCAGCATATTTAAAAGCAAATTATATGACAACAATAGCACAAAGGTTGGGGGGAAGAACTGGGAAAACACTGTCTAAGGTCCTTACTCCACATGGGAAGAAAAATATAATATTATTTCAAGGTAGTCTCTGATTCATTAAAGATGTATATTGTAAATCCTGGTTCTACAATTACAATATTTTTAAGAATAAAATAATAAGTCAATAAAAGAGATAAAATGGAATTATAAAGTTCAATCTACCCAAGAACAGTTAGGAAAATGGAAAAAAGAAACAAACAGATAGAAAAAATAAAAATCAGGAATCAATATGAAAATTTTAATCCAAACATATCAATTATCACTTCCAATGCAATTGATCTGAACACAACATCTAAAAGTCAGAGATTGCTAAAATTGGATAAAAAGGCAAGACCCAATTATATGTTGTTTACAAGAAACCCACTTTCATGATATAGGTAGGTTAAAATAAAAATGTGATGAAACATATACCATGAAAACTACTAAACAAAACAAACCTGTAGTAACTGTATTAATATGAAAAAATAGACTTCAGGACAAGAAATATTTTGAAGGATAAAGAAAGAAAGTACATAATGACAAACAGTTCTCCAAGAAGAAATAACAATTATATGTATGCACCAAAAACTACAACAAAAACCTTCAAAATACCAGTGTTTTTATCATGAAAAGGTATTGGATTATGTCAAATGCTTTTCCTGCATCTATTGAGATGATTATGTGTTTTTAAAATTTATTTTATTAATATGGTGTGTTACATTGTTTGATTTTTTTTGTATGGCAAACCAACCTTATATTCTTGGGATTAATGTCACTTGGATATGAGTATAATCCTTTTTATATGTTTACTAGCATTCAGTTTACTAGCATTTTGTTGAGGATTTTTACATCGATATTCATAAGTGATATTGGTCTACAGTTTTCTTCTAATGTCTTTGCCTCATTTCCGTATTGAGTAATGCTGGCCTCAAACAAAAATTTGGGAAGTGTTTTCTCCTCTTCTATGTTTTGAAAAAGTTTGTGGAGGACTGATATTAATTCTTATTTAAAATGTGTAGTAGAATTCACCAATAAAGCTATCTGGACCTGGGCTTTTCTTTGTGGGGAGTTTTAAAATTATTAATCCAATCTCTTTACTTGTTATAGGTTTATTCAAATTTTCTACTTATTCTTTATTAATTTTTGGTAATTTGTTTCTTTCTAGGACTTTATCCATTTTACATATATTACCCAATATTTGGCATACCATTGCCAATAGTATTCTCTTATATTCCTTTTTATTTCTGTAAAGCCAGAACTACTATCTGATTTCAAGACTTATTATAAAGCTATAATTATAAAAATGTCTTAGAAAAGACACAGAAAGCAATAACCATAAAGGAACAAAAAAGGATAAATTAGGCTTAATCAGTATTAAAGTTTTCTACTCATCAAAAAACACTATTAAGAAAATAAAAAGGCAAAACCTAAACTGGACAACAATATTTTCAATAAGTATATCTGACAAAGAATTTGTTTCTAGAATGTATAAACATCTCTTACGAAACAATAATAAAAAGACAGCCCAATTTAGAAAAATATGTGAGGGATTTAAACACATCCTTCACAAAGAAGACATACAATGGACAATGTGCATGTGAAAAATAGTTCAACATCATTAGTCACCAGGTAGGTATGAATTTAAACTGCAATGTGATACTATTTCACAACTACTAGTCCAAATATAATTAAGAAAGAACTGAAATAAATGTTGGTCGAGGTGTGGAGCAACTGAAACTCTCATACATTGCTTGAGGGAGTGTAAAATGATAGTATCTGTCTGAAAAATTGACAATTTCTTATAAAGTTAGACATTCAATTACCAAATTACCTAGTAAGTCCTCTCTACTTATCTACTCTCAGAAAAACGAAAGACTTGTACAAGGATATTCACTTAGGCTTTTTCATAGTAGTTAGAAGACTAAAAACAATTCAAATGTCCCCCCAGTGGAAGAATAGATAAACTGACTGTGGCTTATTCATTTCATGTTACTATGCAGAAATAAAAACTAAACTATTAACAACATTGAGGAATATCAAGACATTATGTTAAATGAAATAAAATGGATACAAAAGAACATATACCATGTATTAATAATGCCATCTATATCAAGTTCAAGAACAGGCAAAACTAAGCAATGGGAATAAAAATCAGAAAACTGATTGTCTTTGCTATGGCAGTGAGGTAAGGGCCGACCATAAAGGGACCTATGGGAACTTTCTGGGGTTATGGAAATGTTTGATGTTTGGTTTCAGTGTTAGTTACACAAGAGTATATGTGTGTCAAAACTCATTGCACTATACACTAAAATCTGTGCATTTTACTGTATGCAAATGAAACCTCAACAAACATTCAGAAACATTTTAAGTAACAGCTATTGGATGTAAGTGCTTTAGCTCTTCTTCTAGGTGGCATGGATTGATCTTGGTGTTCTTATCTGAAGCTCTGCCTGCAAGATTCAGAGTTTGTGCATTGTGGAATACTGACATGCCATCAGCCTGGCCTCAAGTGCAGTAATAACAGCGGTGTACCCACCAACCCTGCCCAGCCAGGCCAAAAATGCGAATTTCCAGGTGCACTTACTGCTCTTCTATTCAATCCCTGACTCCTCCCTGCCCCCCCATAGACACACACACACCCCTTTACCTACCTCTGAAAACTTTACTGTAAATTAGAACCTTTATCGGAAGGTAAAGAAATTTTAATTGTTGGATCTATTACTTTTAGAAACTCTGGAGAAATGCTGGTTGGGTCTTCTCAAATTCTTTGGTTTCCATTTATCTGGATATATAGACGGTCAAGATTCGGACCTCGTTGTTAACCTAGGTTTTGGATTTTATCACAGACTCTTTCCTAATTACAGTTAGAAGGTGAAGTCCTGTGCCCGCCTCCCCTCTGAATCCTTATTAATGCCAGGGCATCCCACTCACCTTGAGAGAGAGCAAGCCCCGAGAGCCATCTCACCTGCTGGCGAAGGTCAGAGCCAAGGCCGTGGCCAGGTGAGGCATCAGCCGAAGAGTCTGCGTTTGGTGCTCAATGATCTTCACCTCTTCTCTGGCTTTGGGCCCAAACTGCCTCCGGCTAGAGAGAATCAACAGACACAGTGTTTACCAAAATCCAGTCGGCAACTTCATGTCCAGAGCTAAAAGAGCCAGCCAGCCATCTGCCTTTCGAATACCTTGGAACACAGAAACCTGAGTCTCCTACATTGTGGTTAAGACAATAGGATATCCACAGTGTCTGAAGTTAGCCCAACAGAAAGCTGTTTAGCTCTTCTAGAAATTACCCTTCTCACCATGGAATATTTTTAAAGCAACTTATCTATCTAACACACAGAGTAATTTTTACTCCTTAACATTTACATGACATTTTATAGTTCCAAGTGCCCTATGATCATTAATTATTCGGCTTTACTAAGTTAGTGACATAATTAATAGGATGGGAGCGATACCCTAGAACATATTTCAAAAGGACATTCTCAACAAGGAGGGCGACGTTAACCCGGGAGCTGCTGTCAGATTCACAGGCGGGTCATTACTTTCAGCCACCCAACCCCCCCTGCAAGTCTTCAGGGAAAAGGCGCTCTGCACCTCCTGCCTTAATCCCTGCGCCAGGTAGACAGCAGCTGCACTGCACTTTGAGGCAGCTATGTCAGGTGAACCAAGGCTTTCCTCGGAGCAATTTATAAAGTGGCGTGGGATTGTCCCCACAGGCAATGCCCACGGACAAATCCTGCAGAATGCCGGAGCTGCAGACTGCAGAGTCCAGGCCTTTTGTAGAGGTCACCCTCTGCCCCATATAGCGCGATGCTCTACAATCCTGCTTTCGGCGCTATCCTAATTTTGCACAGCTCCGAGTTTAATGTTGATTTCTGAAAGAACATGTCACACACACGTGCACACACACATGCACACATGCATGCACATACATGCACACATGGTGCTGTATTATCAAAAGGGCAGGGCAAACTGTGCTTCGGACACTAGTGGGGTGAGGATACCCATCAACCTCTCAAAGAGAGAGGAAAGAATGAACAACTGTTTTAAAAATTATGTATTTGATAAAGACTTTCTAAAACATAAGTTTATGCTTTAATATTGCTTTCATCTGTAATGAATAAAAAGCATCATAATCTTTTTATTGCATAAGGCATTCGGGATTCACAACCTGGCCCTGTCTTGTGGGGGTGAGGATATACACAACAAGCACACGCAGGGACAGCTGCTTGCAAGCACTGTGAGCACAGGCTTGTTTTCTAAGAGCACAGACTTGCCCCACACACAGTCTAACCAACCCACAGATGGTTGGGAACGCTACCTCACCCTGCCCTTCAACCACACTCTCCCCTCCTTCCTAGTGTACACCCAACCACAGCAGGCCCTGGCTCCAAATGAGAGGCCTGACAGCCTATAGGGAAAACTCTCAGCTTTTGCTTAATCATGGTGAAATTGACAAAAAAAAAATCATGGACCCAGTAACAGTGGCATCATAATGTTAGGTAATGGCTATGGGATTTGTGTCCCTCCCAAAATGCATAATAATTTTGAAGCCCTAATCCTCAATGTGACTCTTCGGAGATAAGGCTTTTAAGAGGTAATTAAGGTTAAAAGAAGTCATAAGGATAGGGTCCTGATCTGATAGGATGGGTGACCTTTTAGGAAGAGGAAGAGAGAGTGATTCCTCTCTCTCCACACACATGCACTGAGGAAAGACCATGTGAGGACACAGCAAGAAGGTGGCCCTCTGCAAGTCAGGAAGTGAGACCTCTGTAGACACTGAACTTGCCAGCAACTTGACTTTGTTTGGACTTGTAGTCTCCAGAACTGTGAGAAATAAATTTCTGTTGTTTTAAGCTACCCAGTCTGTGGTATTTTGGTAGAGTTGCCTGAGCTGATTAATATAGTCATTTTACAACTTCCATTGTTAAATGCTGGGTTATACTGTAGCTTTACCTGTGGTCGTTGTGGCTAAAATCTGATCTACCAAAACCAGACACGGCCACATGCAATCCACTCCTCTGGGGGACATCTGTGTGTCTGCTCTGTACCTGAGTCACACTAGGTGCTGAGCGTCCCCAGGGTCAGGAAGGCCAAGTCCCAGCCTCTGAGCACACAGCCAGGGACACGGAGAAGACCCAGGCAAGGCAGCATGTGCAGAGAGAGCTCTGGGCACAGCCCTGTGCTCCCACCCCCGTCAGTCACCAGCATTTCATCATGTGCTGCCAGAGCGTCATTTCAGGACACTTTACCCACACAGTGACAGAAGAAATCGATCTCAGCACCTTTTGGGTTTAGTTTTGCTGAAAAATTACTACAATAGCAATATAGTCTTAAATAGCATCCCATCAAATGTGCTGTTTCTGTGAGTGAAGTCTTCACCTTGGCCTAGTACACAGTGACACTCAACATTAGTTGAGTGAATGCAAGAATAGATGAGATTTGCAGACGAGGAAATGCAGATAAAGCACAGCAGAGTGGCCCACTCAAGACCTCAGGGAAGGTCTTTGGATGTCAAATCAGAACCCTGACCTGTAGTGCCTCAGTTCCCTCATGTAGGCACACCATGTCGTAGTCCCATTGTCTCATTTCCTCTTTGACCCTCACAACCCAATTGGGTGAGAGATGCAGAGCAGAAATAGGCCACCAAGGGTCCACACCTCACGGGGCCTTTCACTGTGCTGACAGGAAGGAGTTACCTCCTCCCGATCCACTGCCAAGTTACCAGGCAATTTCACAAGAATCTGAATTTCCAGCCCTAGGAAGATCTGGCAACCCCGGACCTCGTTCTCATGATGGGATCTGCCAGAGCGCCGGGGCTTCGTCAAGGCACAGCTGTCCCCTGAGGTCCCCAGAGCCCCTCTACTCGCTGACGCTACCTCCTGGCCTGGGAAGCACTGAGTTTTCAACTCCTGCTACAATGTGTGTTTTTTTTTTTTTTTCATCCAGAATAAATTTACATCGGCTTCCTAGCTTGTTAATTATGTTCTGTGACTGTGATGTACAGCCAAGCGCAGGCACGGTGCATGAGTCTATGGATTTATTGGGAGAACTCCTAGGGTGCGCCGCAGCTCTGGCCAGCTCCCAGGGAACACAATCCAAACGGCTCAGCTTGGCAGCCAGCAGCCCACCTCGGCCTGCCTTGAGTGTTCCAGGCGCTTTTCCCGCTAAGCCCCTTCAGACGCTCTTCCCATCCTGGGCGCCCGTCCAAGCAGGACTCTCTGCCTGCAGCCGGCCTCACCCCCGACTGCCAGCGTCTGACTGGACTCATTTTCGGTGGCTCGGCCAACCCTCCCCCCACGGAGAGGTCTCTGATGCTCCCCACCCCGGGGCAGGGCCCTGCAGAAACGCACAGCAAACCAGCCAGAGCAACACGCTGCTTCTCCTCGGAGCGCCCGGAGCATTTCATGCTCTCCCTCCCGGGCGGCCCAGCCCACCCTTTCAGGCTGGCACCTGCAACAGCCACGTGCTTCCGACATTGCCACACCTGGGGGCCTTGCTGACCCTGGAGTGACAGCAGTTCCCAGGGCCTGTCAGTTCCTGAACACAGCAAACAACTCCCCAGTGAGTGCAGTTTTCAAATGCAACCAAATCAATCCAAGGCCCTAGCTGAGGGGAGTACTTTATCTGATTCTTCTATGCGGGGCCTCCGCCCCCTGTCCTAATCTCCCCAGGGCAGGCCCCAGACAACTCAGGGCAGCCCCTCGCCTCAGAGCCTTCTGAAGTTATTCGAATTGGCCAATCCTAAACCCGCTCTCCTGCTGCGTCCATTCCTCCCCGTGGGCCGCAGTAAAGGCTCGTGCCCATGTTTTCTCCTCACTTCCTCTCTTCCCACCACCCCGCACTTCCCTGTGTGGCCCTGGGTGGCAGATGTGCCCCTCCTCCTGGGAACTGTGAGCAACAAACTATCTTTTTTTCTTTTTAATTTCTGCATATTCTGGGGGTACAAATGTTCAGGTTACGTATGTTCAAGTGGGTCCATACCCCAGACGGTGTGCATTACACTCATTATGTATGTATATCCCCAACCCCTCCTCCCCACTCTCTGCCCAATGTCCGATAAATGTTATTCCTATATGTCCACTTAAGTGTTGATCAGTGAGACCGATTTGATGGTGAGTACATGTGGTGCTCATTCTTGGGATACTTCACTTAGTAGATTGGGTTCCAGTTCTAGCCAGGAAAATACAAGAGGTGCTAGGTCTCCATTCAAACTATCTTTTCACTGGCTGTTGTCTCCTAATCTGTCAGCTTCACCATACCTGGGTAATAATGAAGCCTACATTTGAAAACAGCACCTGTCACTGGATTCACAGCTCGCTAAGAGAAAGCCTGCTCCTTCTTCAGGTGCCCCAGCCTGGCCTGGTGTAAGTGCCCAGGAAACACAGATGGCAGGAGGGCAGATGGATGTCCCGCCAACTCTCAGCAGCTCCACGCCAACCCTCCACCCCCAACCCCCACTCCCTTTGGAGTGTCCGCATGTTACGAGATGCTGAAACAACCCAACTCTCAGGCACCGGTGTGCTGGGTGGGAGCGGGGCAGTAGGACAGGGATGGAAGAGGAAATGAGAGGAAGGCGACCAATCTCCCCATATGCCCAACAGGCCACACCCCACACCCCACCCCTGCCTTTTTCGCCAGGGACCAGAAGAAACCATGCAGGTGGGCAGAGGGCAGACACCACCCAACTGCTGCCCTCTGGCCCAAGACTCTGGCAGTCCCCAGAGCACTGAGCAGGGAGTTTGCCCTGGCTTATCACCCATCAGATGTGCTCTCCGGCTTCTCCAAGGGGAACCCTGACACTAGGGCTAATGGTGCTTTGCCACCTGGAACACAGCCAGAGGTCGGCCCCGTGACCGCCACCCGTGAGCCTCGGGCTGGCAGCCTGGCAGCAGCAGAGGCAGCAAAGAGAGACTCGAGGCCCAGGGCTCCAAGAGGGCTTGGCTTGTGCAGGACCCTGCCCTGCCATGCTGTGTCACCCTCTCACTTATGCCCACAGGCCCTATCAACTGTACTGAGGGCCACCGCAGTCCAGGCCCGGCCTCTGTCTGCCAGCGTCCTGGCACGCTTCCCTGAACACGGCTC